GCGCCAACAACTGACCTGTGTGTACGTCTCCGTCTATACTCGATGACCACGATAGATAGTAATTGATATTGACATTGCAAATCTTCATTGCAGGACCTTTTGCTATTCGATCCACTATTTAGTTCCTCTTGACGTCGATGTGCGAAAGAATCGTTAAATTATTTTTTAAAGGTGTCAGCCAATGGTTCGCTCCCGAAAATGTGTGCTATGAACCATGTGGTGTTTTGTGACCGTGACGTGTTGTAGTACAATGCTGTTATAACGCTATTAGCACAGTCTACGGCTGTATGATAACGTCTTTACAATTGCAATGATTTTGGTAAACATTATTGTAATTTAATAAAAACCGAATATATCAAAAACATTGGCTAGACGACTACGGTCGTGAACCACTATAATTGCATAGCTTTTAAGGTAATTTACATATTATACCTATATTGAAGGTAATTTATATACGTATTACACTTTCGGCATTGCACTATGTAATATTCATTTGACGGGCGCAGTAGCTGTACCTCTGAGCTCTTTGCGATTTAAAGCTTCAAATAGCACTGCAACTGTTATGGATAGGCGTGTTGTTTACTACCAGGCGCACGACTTCTGCGTCCCGTCACTAGGTATTACAAAAAAAAATTTGGATACTTAGTCAATGTAAAATTGTTACCGTTGTTCTGAATAAATATCCTTACTTAATCAAGGAAGTAACTTAGATACGTTACTAAAAACAATTTTGTCGAATCGATGTTTGTTGGCGGTTGATTTTCGGTTTGAATCATTTTGAAAAAAATATTGAATATCACGTCCCCGCACATACATATTGTACTTCCTGCGTATTCAAATGCGTTTTCACAGGAAGCGGTGGAGCGGTAAATTATCCGAAAACAAACTCAAAGCACGTTCGCCAGCATCTCATTACTCGATACCGGGTTACGAATTGCATTCAGCGGAAACGCTTCCACGTCCACGTCCACGACCAACGAACTTCCATTTCTTATGTGTCTATCTGTACACTTTATTCAATTATTTACTCTGGTATTATAAACAATAGCGGGATGTACCTACAAAAGAAAACAATGTTTTATCTTTACTTAAGTTACATGTTAGATAAAGAAAATTTGTAAATGGATAATTATTAACTTCGCCTCAATCTGACCTTGAAATAGATTCGAATGTTTGATTTGTGCAATAGTGCAAATGAAACATTTAAAAATGTAACTCAGTCAGACATAATCTGGCCGGGCCGGTAAAGGGCCGGAAATCTTTGAAAAAAAAAAAACAAATTGTATATATATGCGATTTAGATCCGACAAAATAGTTTAATTTCCATTGTGCAACAATAAAAACTTAAAAACTCGATTATAATATAATGTATTCTAGAAGACAGGTGGATTCTTTTCATACCAACTAAGTCTAGATCAAAGGCAACGTACAGACTACTTAGGTAGATACGTGAGACGCACTATAAGTTTCCGGAATGAATAAGAAAAAATACTATAAATGGTCAGAAATGAATTTATTGTTTCTCAATATATTCTCCGTTAGCGTTAGTGCACTTTTACATACGAATGAACCAATTTAAAAAAACATTTATGCCTCTCCTCCGTGACAATCTCTGAAACATATTTTTCATACTCTTCGACAGCCTCTTCAGGTGATGAAAATCGTTGACCGCGTAACGGGTTCTTAATTTTTGGAAATAAATAAAAGTCACAAGGTGCCAGGTCGGGACTGTACGGGGAATGGCTCATAAGGTCAACGTTTTCACCTTCAAAAATTCATTTGTCTGTCTGGCCGTGTGAGAACTGGCATTATCGTGGTGCAAGACGATACGGCGTTTACGGTTATTCTTGCGGAGTTTGTCAATAACTTTCGGCAAACAAATGGTTGTGTATCAATCACTATTCACCAAATATCCAAAGCAACGTGTCCAGTTTTATTAAAAAAAGAAGCACTCATCCGCTTAGGGGCACTTTGCACGCGCGCCACTTTGGTTGGTTTCGGATCATCTCGAAAGACTCATACGCTCGATTGCTGCTTTGTTTTGGCATCGTAACTATAAATCCATGTTTCGTCACCTGCTACTATGTCCCACACTAAATTTGAATCTGATGAGCATGGCATTGCACCAAGTGACGCGATCCGTTTTTTGAGCCTCAGTCAAATTGTGTGGCACAGTCTTTTCACACCCAAATGTTTGTGTAGTATTGATTGTATTTGACTAATGTCTATGCCTAAAGATGCCCGAATCTCATGGTATGTCACATGCCTGTCTGTTTTGGTCATACGATCCACAACATCGATGTTTTTGTTGAACATTGGGGAAATAAGATAGTTCATATTTCTCAATGTCCGGCAGCAATTCCCCACGCGTCGCAATACTCAAAACCCAAACCCCCAAATGAGTCCATTCCCCAATAAATCTCCAATAAATATCGCCGAGTCGCCGACCACTTTTTTAGTCGCCGCGCTACGCCTCAAAGTAGCCTAAACGGCGACAAAATCGCCTAAACTGGCAACAGTGATAAACAGGTATGTCTAGGGGGATTCGCTCTGGACCTTTTGGAGGGAAAAGTGTCGTTTGTATTTTGACTTTCAATTATTTTGTGAAATCTAGTTTAAAGTGGAATGGGATAGTGCTATTGTGCCTTAATCGAAGATTAAAACGCGAAGTTATACGAATCTCGAACTAAAATACCCGTATCGGCCCGTTCTAAGAAATCCCGAGTCAATCCAAGCACGCCGCCTCAAATTGCCTATCCTCTTTGTGGCGGCCATATTTACAGAAAAACTTCTTTGTATGTTTCCGGCTGAAGGACTTTGTTTCCATTGCCAGAAATAAATTTAAAAAAAAGGTATGTCTAGGGTTGCGTCTAAAAATATTTCATTTATAGCTATGGCACAGATTACTTAATAGTTACTACGTAACAGATATAATAATAATAACGTACACACTCAACATAGCCCCGCACTAGGGAAACCCTGTGTCGCGGGTGCCATGGACACACACATAGACAACCACAAATTACACCCAAACTCACGAGATAAATAAATGTAAGCCATACAAACATTTCTCCCGGCCCGGGAATCGAACCTGGGACCTCTGCGTGGCAGTCCGGCATGGTAACCGTTCGGCCATGGAGGCAGTTTACAGATACTTGACTCTCATACAAAATCCAAAATACTACGCTACAATAGCCTACTAAATTTGACTAATGACACCAGGGGGCCTACTATGAGCTTATAAGCAGCCAGAAAAGTTCAATGCAATTCAATTGAAGTTGTAAAACTGAATTGCTTAAATTCGTATGATGATGAGTTTTGTTATTTAAAACTTTAATTATTGTCTCTGGCTGGCTAGCTGACATCTAACAAGAGCGAGATGGAGCTACATACTAAATCATATGAAACAAATAGACAGGTGTACTAACCTGGGAGCGTTCATGCACTATTAACCGATTGTGTTCAAAATCGAGAATAATTATATTTTTTTAATTAATTTTATTATTGATTATACATACTACGTCATTTTGTAATATTGGCAACTTTTCAATCATACTTTACAATTTGTCTTACGACAAAATTACATGTCGTATCTAGTCATTATCATTGGAATGAATAAGGTGAGTTTGTAATTTGATAACATAATTGGAACGTATCTTGTATTCGCACATTTTCATTGATTGCATTAAAGTGAAATTTGGCACCATTTAAAAGTTATTTTACGATTTTCGGTCAATAAAATTAATAAAATGATTTTTTAATCAAATATATTATATTTAATATAGTATATACTATAGGAATTTTAGTACATATAAAAAGTTATTAATAGACATATATATTTTATTTTTATTTATAGGTACACAAACAGAATGTAATCATCACATGGTAACAGATACAGTTTGGTACACTAATAGCCAAGATCACATTCCAAAAACAGTGTATACAGCATGATAAAATGAGTCTTAGTAGATTAGTGTAAAACTACAATCACCAAATCCAACACGAAGAAATTAATAAAATAATAATAATAAATAAATTTACAAAGTGATTTGTTTAAATAGTTGAAAATAATAGTAATAACAATACAACAGAACATAAAATTATCAAAAGCTAAAACTCAAGCGATACACGTGATTGCGTCTTAATTTTCGAATTAAAAATATCGAGATGAGCATTACCTTGCTTAAGTTCGGCACATTTTCACTATGGAATTAAAGAAAGAGGTATTATTTTTATATACTTACATTGAGACGAAAAATTCTCGGCGCCCTGAAACGTACTTTGGCATTAAAATTAATTTGGCTTAAAAGCTCGGCACAATCCACCATAGAATGTATAATTTTATGTAAGTAAATGAGTTCATTAAAATCTCGCCTTTTTTACAATAACGGCACCTTAAATTACTCAACCCTATTGGCATACGAATGCAGAATTCGCAGTAAACCGAACCTACCACAAACTGATCACAAAAATGATTTTTGAACTCTTTCAATACTTTGCCAGTGAACATTATAGAATGGTGACCAAATTACAGAAGCTTATTCCAAAATTCGGTCGAAAAGTCGGAATAAGGCTTTTTAACCCTTCACACGTATTAGAATACGGTGCCTCACGCGAAACTATGTTCTCATCCACATTTTTTAAATTTTAACATTATAAAAAAAAATTACCAATATCTCTAAGGACACCATGTGTTTCTAGGATGCCTGACGGTTTAAGTATTCTTAGTATCGCAATTGCATTGCCAGGCTTGTGGCATAAGCTCTTAGGTCTCTTGCATCTATGATTGCGTTGGGTCTCCCTAAAACTTTAGCCGTCTTGTGAAAGAGTTCACCCAGGGTAGTACTGCCACCTTATCTATTTCTTCCGCCAAGAAGTAATGTCAGCATTACTGTGTTCTGGTTTTGAAAGTTAAGGGTGCTGGTGAAATTACAGGCACGTGGGACTTGTCAACTTATTTCTCGGGGTGACGGGCTCAGTGGCAGTGCCCCTCAGATCTGTAACTTAGATTTTAAAGTTCTGAGTGGCACTGTAACTGTTATGGATAGGTTTACCATCAGACGTACGACTTGATCGTCCCGTCACTTAATATTATAAAAAAAAAAACAAACGGCCTATTCACTACCTGCATGATAGTCCGCCGCTCAGGCAGGAGGCTGCTCACACACTATTCTGTGTATGGCCCACGTTATGAAGTCTTGCAGGACGCATTGCAGGATTGCAGAGTGGCTTACACGATGCGACTACATTCATAATCCTGCATTACGTGGCGGATAGCAAAGCGGACTGCAATGCAGGATAATGAACGCCCTCTTTAACCATTAATCCGGAACACAGCATGAATGATAGAATTAATGTATCTGCCACCAGTAAAAAAATAACACACTGACTTACAAATAACATAGGTAAAATGCATCTCAATTGGATAAATGCAATAAATACTATATAGTTTAACGTACAGCTAGGAGGCTTCCGAATACCAAAAACCCCACTGCGACGACAGTATAGAGTAGCATCTGAAACAATATAATAATAATACACCTACCATTACATTACAAAACGTATTAAAGGGATTTACAGTCAATAATTTGAAAGTATTGATGTCTAAGTGAAGGCTTTCGGTACATTTTTGACAGCTGGGCCTTGCAATGTGTGTAGAAACGATACAAAACCAGCACAAGAACCATAGAGTATTACTTTTACTATGACAATTATTAACGCAGCTAATGAACGAAGGACATTGTAACCCGTGAAGCGGCGTAATCAACGGACATCTTCACGCCACTAAATAGAAGGTATTAAAATTTACAAAACGAACTTCGCCTTAGTTTAAATTAAAGTATGAGCATACTTCGAAATTTTTTGCCTAAAATTAAGCAAAGTTTGTGAATATGAAAAACTAGTGGAGTAATTTCACAAAAAATAATTAAATATCAATTCAATAAAAATTTAAAATACAGTGAATAGCGACATCTCTCGCCAGTGCTGGTAGCTGTAAAGGTACTAACTGGGAGATAAATCTATCATAGATTTCTCATAGATGGCGCTACGACTAAAAAGTCGTTGAAATACCAAATACAACGACACGACGCAAGCACATAGAAAAATTCTTGAGGTCCGCTGGTTCGTTCCGTGACTTAGTTGGTATAGCGTCTGGCACGGTAGGCTAGAAGATGTCGGTTCGAATCCGGCCGGATCGAAGGAATTTCATAATTATCACAAAGTAGTGGAGTAATTTCACAAAAAATAATTGATTATTAATTCAATAAAAATTGAAAATACGAAAAACTAGCTTATCTCGCCATTTTTGCTTAATGAAAGTCATAGTTCGTTTCATAAACTTCAGCATTAGTCTTTTTTAAATATAACAAAATACTAATAATTACTGAAAAACCTTTTTTTTTTCGAATTTAATGACCATATTGCAGTAAGATACAGATTTTGTAGCAGTAGAGCTCCTTGTGAAAGAGTTCGCCCCGGGAAGTACTGCCATCTTAACTATTTCTGCCGCCAAGCAGTAATATGAGCATTAAGGTAAGGGTGCTGGAGAAATGAAATGTCTGTAGCACTTGGGACTTGTCAACTTATGTCTCAGGGTGACAGGCGCAGTGGCAGTGCCCATAAGATCTTTGCGACGTAAAGCTCTGAGTGGCACTGCAACTGTTATAGATAGGCGTGTCGCTTACCCCAGGCGCACGACTTGTTCGTCCCGTCACTTGGTATTACAAAAAAAGATGCTTTGTGACATAATAATTAAATGTTTTCAAAATGTCCTTCATAAATGTAGCACTGGCATCACATGTGCTACAGTCGATGCCCAAAGATACCTGAACCCGTAACCGACCATTTCCGATCAATATGAAGAAAGTGACAAAAAATTTAACCTTTAACCTGTGTTTAAAAGTAATTTTAAGAAACTGTTTAAGCCATTCTTAGTTAAATACAAAATACAAATTTCAACCATAAAGGTGGAATTTGAGTATGTGCAAAACAAAGAATAAAAAAAATCTGTTGAATTCGTAAGAAGGCTCTCAGAACCGAAAGGTCGGCTAGAGGGTCAGGTATCTTAGGATATCGACTGTACGTGGCGGCTGTCTTCAATTTATCAAAACTGCCCGAACTAAAGCCTGACATATCCCTTTTCTATTGCGACTGAACCACAGCGCCAATTTTCACAAGGCAATGCGCTTCAGTTGGAATGACTTATAAATTATTTATAAATTACTTATACGTTAACTATACCACGTTAGTTAAAAAAAATTACCCTATTTTGCCACTGCCTGTTCTTGATACACTGGCTGTATGGGATGTACATAAATGTGACGGAGTTATACAGTGGCACCCAAATGTCGGGCAGCAACCAAAATATAAAGTCATCCATTGCCTTGCGTATACGGTACGAGGGACGGTTCACCAGATCTCGCATCTGGAAAAAAATGGTGCAGCTTTTTGAAGTAGTTAACAAATTCTTGAATTAATCTGCTTCTCCTTGAAGTCTGTAAAGGTTAATCGTGCAAAATGCTGCGCATGTGTCGAATATTTCTTTTCTTACAGTTAATTTTACCACTACTTATTTCTGCCGCCAAGCACTAATGTTATCATTGCTGCGTGCCGGTTTAGATGGGTAAATTACAGGCACATGGGACTTGTCAACTTATGTCTCAGGGTGACGGGAGCAGTGCCCCTCAGATCTTTGCGATTTAAAGCTCTGGGTGGCACTGCCACTGTTATGGACAGGTATGTAGCTTACCATCAAACGCACGACTTGTTCGTCCCGTCATTTGATATTATAAAAAAAAACAATCTATATATACAATGCATACACATATAATATAAATGTACATAATTATGTATGCATAAATCTCAGACTAATGTGAAGCAGACTGAGGCATGAAGTTACAGACTAATTGCTTAAAAGCTATTAATAACCATTCATCGCATTTTGAATATGAGGTAGCAGTTATGAGGTAGTTCCAAAGTCATATTGCCTGAAGTGTAAATGAGTTGGAAACACAACCAGTTTGGTGAGGAGGAATGAGAAGAGTCCAATTTCTGTTTGAGCGTAGATGGCGGTTATGGGATGCACCCAAATATTGAAATTTACATTTCAAATACTCAGGCGCACATCCATCGTTGATGATAAAACAAAGAGTGGGGAGCATTCTCAAATCACGACTCTCTGGCGAATCGTCACTTCACTTCGTCACTTCAGCTCATTGCGATATGCAGAAATGTGGTCAAATTTACGAAGGTCATAAATAGAGCATATGCAACTATTAAGCAAGCGGTCCAATTTGTTGAAAATTTCCTGGGTGATATCAGCATAAACAAGGATGGATTTCTCCTTCTTTCTATATTTACCTCAACATAATTATACATAGCGAGATCACTAATAGCAAAAGTGTTCTCCCATCTAGTCCTAGAGAACTCTTCCAATATGTCTGCCAAGTTATCATGATGTTTTTGGAACAGCTGGTCTAGAATCGAGCAATCCTCGAAACCTGCGTTCATGCCTTGCCCGTAAAACGGCACAACCGCATGTGCGGCGTCACCTATGAGAAGAGCTTTGTCGTCCACGTGGTACGGACGACACTGGAAAAAATAATGGTTGATCCGTAAGCACAACGAACGGTTTTCTTTTTTATTTAAGTATCATTTTTAGAAATTCTTTCAAAAAAATAATTTTCCTTGCAAATATGGTGTACAAGGAAAGACAGGTGAATATGAAGGAGTTATCATAAAGCTGACCGTTAATACAACAATGTCAATAACATTGCAAAAAGCAATTGCTACACATGTCCAGTACTGAAAAGCCCGTTATTGGATGTTATTTTTTAATTGGTCTTAACACTTAACCCTGTTCCTCGGATCGAGTTCTTAGGTTTTTGCGATTGTTACACGTAGGAAATAAAGGCACATAAGAAGAAGGCCTAAAAGATAAATTTTGAATTGTTTAATGGGAGATTCGGTATCTATTATTATTATTATTTATCTATTTTGAACTCTCGCCTCTCCCAAGGCCTAAAAGATCGATAATTATTATTATTTTTATCGTTATATTATTATTACTTCATATAGCATATGAAAAAAAACAATGCTAAAAGTGCACATTTCATAAATGCAAACTTCTAAATGACAGAAGAAAAACAAAAAGCTATCAAAACGATACACTTTTTCCAGTATCGCGAGTGTATTCTACAGATTCAAGTTCTTTTAACGTTTTTCTGATGTTGTTTGACGCAATCTGTATCTCAACGTAATAAGTAATATAACAGTGACACCTGACTTTGAATAGGCATATAATGAGGTCATTGTGATGTCACCATATTGTAATAAAGCAGTGCTGTATCAAAAAAAAAAATATTTTTCAGTACCCATTTACAAAATTTATTATTGACACTGTTGGACCGGGAGCTACGCACATGATAATGCTATAAGAAAGTGGGTGAATATACTGCGACCTCTGTATTCTTGAGCTACTTACAAAATACCCATGACATAGACTGTTTATTAGCACCAACTAGCAAGAAAAATTGCTGGCATATTTGCCAGTACATTTAAAACAATTTGTTTATTACCTTAACAGCCACTAAAGCTGACGGAGATGTGGCAAAGAAGTCTTCAATCAGTTTCTGTTTACCAATTAAAGGTATGGAGTCAGGGAAGTACTTCTCGAAAAACTCAATAAGCATTTCCTTGGTATCCAATTTCTTGAAATTCGTAAAAGGCATAAACAGAGTGACAGTCCAGGAGCAGTCTTGATTTGGCAAAGCAATCATCATGAATTCGCCTCTTGGCCAAATGTGAAGGAAGTTGGCTGGCATCTGAAACTGTAAATCATCAAGAAGATTTAGTAACCATTTTTCCTCAAAACGATAATGAAAAAACGGAACTTTATTCTATTGAAAGATTAACAAAGTTGAACGCATATTTCACACCAAATATTTGTCATTCAATCGTCAATCAAATGTGACATAGTCAAACATTTTCATGAATGGACTAAAATAAATATTAAGTATGAATCCATTAATACTGCTGTACCTTAGTGTAGAGATAAGCCGTTCAAAAACAAATTACCAGCTCTCTCTCTATCTAGTACGTATTAAAGCTGCAGTCACGTGTGGAACAAATGAATGAAACTCAGCGGGTGGAAACACAGTTCGTAATTCAGTCTTGATACGATAACTACACGTTTGACGCGCTTAAAGTCTGATGATGATCGTAATCCATCAACACGTCATCGCAATTGTCTACAATTTTCTTTCAAATTTTCAATTATATATTATTGAGGACGGTAAAATGTATAATTTCAAGAATTTACAAGTGCTTTATTTGTGTATATTATTTAACTATATTTATTGTGAAAGATATTCAAACTTCTTTAACATAAATGAAGATGGCGATCTGAAAACATCTGAAAACTGTATAATAAAATTTATTAGAAATAATATTCGCTGCGGTAACATGATTACGATAGTTACTGAGATAAACGTTGACTTTCTGCTAGAAGCTATCAGCAGTGACGAATGCTATAGCTTAATTACAAGAACGTTCTATTCACCTAAATTGTTAGTCAGAAACGAATACGTCGTAGTACTGGCAAAGGATATTTTTGGTTTCGAAAGTGGAATTATCGATATTAGAAACGACTTAATATGGAACAATAATGCGAAGTATATCATACAAATAACAAACATTCGAAGTGGACAGGACATTGCCAAGATGTTGTTAAAGCATAACATATTTAGAGCTGTGTTCGTGGACAATTCTCGGATAAGTGATAGTAGAATGTACGCGTACCATCCTTTTAAATACAAAAATTGTGCCGGTGATCACGACACTGTAGTGTCTCTAGGTCTTTGTAAAGGTAATAATATAACTGCACCAAATATTTTCCCAAATAAACTTCCTAATAAATTCCACAAATATACGATAAGAGTTGTAAGACAAGAAGTTATACCACATGTTATACCAGAATCTAGCAATTATACACTTGGAGGCTATCGTTTACCCGGACTAGAAGAATATATTTTAGAGAGCGTAGAAGCTAACAAAGGTTACTTTATAGATTACATCGAAACAGGCAATGATACAGTTCATGGTATAGTTTTAGCTAATGGACTGTCACTGGTATTTTGAAATACCTCAATACTGATGAAGCAGACATTTCGATTGGAGGCTACGTAATTATTTTGAACCGCGGGAAGATTTTTGACTATATAGGGTGGAAATTTGTAATGCCACCTGGAGGGAAAGTACTCTAAATACTGGAGATATAAATTTTTACTTAAAGGAAACATTCCTTTATTTTTTTAAAGAAATAAAACTGCATTCATAGATTTTCGAAAATTTCTAGCAACACGCGGGAATCGAACCCGCTTTAATCTGAAAAAAATACACCCTGCACTTTTATTGCATCGATCGATAGGGTTAATTATAAGAATAAAATCTCTCTCACAAATTTGGTTAATTAAATGAAAAAAAACCAAGACCAGACCAGAAAACAGACTAGAAAAGTTCATTTCCCAAATCGATACTACCAGGAATCGAACCCGGGACCTCCGCATTCAGCGCCCACAATGTAACAGTGGCGCTACTACACCGCTACTTTAAACGTCTAATTGAAATGCGCCCTAATTGCGCCTTCCCATTATGTCGTAACGTTTTATTTATTGTTGGACGACTGTCGCGTCTAGCCTGCTCTCATATCACGACTATCTGTTGTGACTGTGTCGTGGACGTTCATTGTATTGTTAAACGACGGTCGTGTCTAGCTGTTCCCACTAGAACGTGACGACAATTTATAGCTTCACGGCAGCCGCTTTGTCGTTTGCACGACAGAATCGTTTGAAGCTGCGATATCCGTCACATTTTTATCGTGTAGTTTTATTTATCATCCGACGACTGTCGTTCTAACTCTTCCCATTGTCACGACAGTCTGTCGTCGTAACGTCAAAAAAGTCGTGAACGACAGTTAGTCGTATTGTTCTATGCATGAACAACTTCATTTAAATATACGACACTTTAAGCTGCACGACTAACTGTCGTGACTACATAGGGGAACGCGCCCATAGTCACTTTGGAAGGTGTGCCCTTCATCCAACGGTAGAACATAAGAAATATGTTTCAGTATTGAATTAAGGTTCTTACCTCACCATTTTCATCAGCAGGAATACAAAGCTCTAAGTAGCCGTGCTCGATGTACTTCTGACTGTAATCGAAGAGCGGTTGCTTCATCATCGCTTTGCGCACCCCTGAAAAGGCCCCATCTGCCCCAATGACCAGGTCTGTCGACACCTCTACTGTCTCTCCTGTGTCCGTTCTGAAAACGATTAAAAAAAACCATTGACAAGACAAACCTCAACGATCGCAAGTATTACATTTTATCAAAACTTATAAAAGATTTTCACTTATTAAACTGTATAAATAAATAAATAAATAGGTACTAGACAATTGCTTCGATCCCAAAGTAAGTTATTATAATAATTATTAATACAAAGATCGAACACTTAGAAAAAATCCTTCGATCCAGCCGGATTCGAACCAACGCCTCCTAGCAAACCGTGGCAGACGCTATGCCATCTAAGCCGCGGAACGAATCTTTGCATTTGGTTTTTAACAAATTTTTAGCCGTCGGTTTGCTCGGAGACGCTGGTTCGAATCCGGCCGGATCGAAGGAATTTTTTCTAAGTGTTCGTGTTAATAATTATAATAAACTAGTGAAGTAATTTCACAAAAAACAATTGAATATCAATTCAATAATTAAGTTAATCACTTGTGTTATGGAATTCGGGAACAACGACGGCACCACAAACACCCAGACTCGAAAAAATATAAAACAGTTTCTACATTGATCCGGCCGACGAGATGACGACACAATGAAAACCGGTGTGTAGGCCAGTCGACCACGGCGGTTGTCATGTGGAATGAGCGCATGAAAATTTCTAACACATCATTTAAACGGTCAAGTACGCTTGTCACAATGTTAATGGATGAGAACAGCGAAAGTATGTCAGAGTCGTATCAAGAGGTAAACAGTTTGATGTATAAAAGTGGAGAGATGAGTTTAACGGAAACTGAAAGGAACTGGAAGCGTTATAATAATGACAGAACGAAGTGGTATAAGAACGTTTTTGTCCAGTGAAGCCACAGAGCTAATTTGCCAAAGACTTACTTCAAGAATTTCAACTTCCCTTTCTTGAGGTTAGCTTCGATTAGTTTGTGGTTGAAGAATCTTTCTACATTTTCGTACTTTTCCGACTCTGAAATGACAAAACCGCGAATTATAGTATCTACTAAACAGGGTGGAAAAAATCACTGGGACATGAAGAGAAAATACCTTTACCTTAATTTTTGGATAGATTTTGCTATTGTTATTGATCCTATCCATTAGTACAATAAACTAGCCAGAGTTTACGTTTTTGCATTTTTAGTTAGTTCGATTCCCGATTCAGGCAAACTTTTCATTCACAGCATTTCTTCATTCCTTTAAGTAAAATTAGCTAACCTAAGCGTTTGAGGTAAGTATTTCCCTTTCATGTCTCATTGATTTTTTCCACCTAGTGACTGTTATTTTATATAGGGCGCACTATAAGTTTCCGGAACAGGCCACGTAAATAAACAATATTTAAAAAGTAATTCCAGCATTTGAAAATGAAACTCTTTGGCTGTAGAATACAGTTTCTTTCATCTGACTGTCACTTGTTTTTACATTGTGGCGTCATTTTAGAAATTGGTTGTCTACATCACCATGGATTTAACTCGTGAAAATTTTCGTAGTATGATTTTCTACGACTTTAAGCGTAATTTAACAGCTCAACGGAGCTTCGCTTGGCTTCAAACTGCTTTTGACGATGAAGCACCATGCAAGACGACTATTTATAGCTGGTTTGCAGAATTCAAATACGGTCGTGTGAATCTCAGTGACGAATTTCGTGATGATCGCCCGTCCGCTGCTGTGAACAACAAAACTATCGATGCTGTGCGCTTTATCATCAAAATAGACAGGCATGTGATCTACCATGACATTCGGGCATCTTTAGGCATAGGCATGAGTCAAATACACTCAATACTACACAGATATTTGAGTGTGAAAAAGCAAAGCTGTGCTCTCGGTGGATCCCACACAATTTGACTGAGGCTCAAAAAACGGATCGCGTCCCTTGGCGCAATGCCATGCTTACCAGATTCAATGAAGGGGCATCAAATATGGTGTGGAACATAGTGACAGGTGACGAAACATGGATTTATAGTTACGATCCCAAAACAAAGCAGCAATCGAGCGTATGGGTCTTTCGAGATGAGCCGAAACCAACCAAAGCGGCGCGCGTGCAAATTGCCTCTAAGCTGGTGATTGCTTCTTTTTTCAATAAAACTGGACACGTGGCTACTGTTGCTTTGGAGAATCGTTGTACCGTGAATAGTGATTGGTACACGACCATTTGTTTGCCGGAAGTTATTGACAAACTCCGTAAAAATAACCGTAAACGCCGTATCATCTTACACCACGATAATACCAATTCTCACACGGCCAGACAAAAGAGGGCTGTCTGAGAGTATGAAAAATATGTTTCAGAGATTGTCAATGAGGAGTGGCATAAATCTTTTCAAAATTGGTTCATTCGCATGAAAAAGTGCATCAACGCTAACGGAGAATATTTTGAGAAACATTTAATTCATTTCTGACCATTTATAGTATTTTTTCTTATTCATTCCGGAAACTTATAGTGTGCCACACGTTAAAACAATAAAGTTCATTGATTTAAACCTTCACGACTTTCACACATTATTATTATTACAAGGTTATCGAGGTCTTAGGCTTTCGTACATTAGTATGTACGAAAACCTAAGCAAACACATATTACAAATGAAACTAAATATATCGGATACAAATCGCGTATATTTATGTTTTGTTTTTATTCAATTGGTATTATAAAGGGCTTTCAAACAAGAACTTTGTTTTGTAAATCAAAACAGTGATTCAAATGAAATTTTTATTACATATATACAATAAAATTTTTTTATTGTATTAAAAAAAGTAAGGTTTGGCAATTACGAATGATGAATGATGTCTGATAAACGACCACAGTTACAGATGTTGATTCTTTCATCAAAGTTTTTAATCACTTTTTGACAAAATGTCTATTTTGTTAATCACTTCACGAATTTTGAGTTTTAAGGCTGCAATCGATTCGATTGGCTCCGCATAGAATAGACCATTAGACTTTGTCTTTAACATAACCCCATAAAAATAATCCAGCGGTGTTAAATCACATGATCGAGCTGGCCACTTAACGGCTGAATTTCGTGAAATTATGCGATCGAGAAATTTGGTTCGCAATAAATTCATTGTTTCGGTGGCTGTGTGACTTGTGGCACCGTCTTGTTCAAACCACATGTGATAGTGATATCCATATCATCGATAATTTGCCAAAATGGAGTTGTTAACATTTTTTTGTTTCGTTCCAATTAACCGATTCCCTGACTCCTAAACTAAGAAAACTTGTATCTTAGGAGTCAAAATAGGTAACACATAACTAGTTGATGACTTTAACATCCCAATTAACCGGGACCATGGGCTCTGCAAAGGGCCCGAAATGTGTGTTTGTTTGAAAAAACAAATACACGCTCTTATCCTATCTATCCGATGTAATAGTTTCATTTGCGATAAAGTTAATTAAAGTTTTTACTTTAAATACGATTAAATTTATCGTTTTTATAATGAATACAAAGCTAAGTAAGTATATGTAAGTAAAAATGTAAAAATAAAAGATGGAGCATAAATACGCGACAAAATAAAAAGCGGACTGAGTCTTATTTTGACGGGTTGTGTATTACCCGAATATTGTAAACTTACCTTGCAATAGTAAACTGTTCAGGTAATTTCGTCCCACCGAAAAAATGCACTATAAAGAAAGAAATAGCATTGTCATTAAATTGTGGTCTCGAACTTATCTTGGCAGGACTCCCACGTCATGGATAACAGCAGCGGCATCTAAGTTAAGCCAGTGTATTTTTCTATTTATTTGTATTTTAAAAGCAGAATATTTTAGTATAACATAAATTTAACTAAGTTTTTCCGTATACAAAACATTTCTATGTACGTTCATACTGCTGCGTGTAGGATTTACAGGAACAAAGTGGTATACGAGATCTAGATCAATTTCGCTAAACATTTTACATCTAAAAGGTTACTGGTGAAGTCACCATATGGCGAACCGGATATCGGTTGGGTATCGTTATGTTATTTAATACGCGATAGTCTTTGCCAGGATTAAAGTAAAGACAAAAACAAAGACGAGTACCTACTTATTGACGACTAAGAAAGGTGGACGGAAGGAGCTTAATGAGGAAGGCGGGAGCAATTTGGGAATAGTAGTTAAGCAATTGATTTCAATTGGCTATTGAGGAACATTAATTTCAATCTTACAATTTCGTAATAAGTCGTAACCTTCAATAAGTATTCAATACCAACTAGCTTCTACATATAGGCATATAGGAATGTGTTAATGTGTTACAAGAGAGCGG